GTGGTGGGGTAGTGACCAGTGAGTAAATGCCCCCTCCCATTCCTTCAGACAGTTAATTCTGAAAGCATTCTGAGTATGCTTTCTGGAAGTCCAGAGCAACTGAGTTTTGCTGCCTAGTGATACTTAATCTCATGTGTCAACATAGGCCACAATACTCAGCTATTTGGTCAAACATCAGTCTAAATATGACTGTAAGGTATTTATTAGATGAGATTAACATATAACATTTAGATCAATAAATTTTGAGAAAAGCAGATGACACTCCATAACATGGTGGGCCTCATCCAATCAGTTGAAGGTCTTAAGAAGAAAAAGACAGAAGTCCTTGGAGGAAGAGGAAATTCTGCCTCCAGATTGCCTTGGGAATCAAGGTGTCAATCCTTCTCTTGGTCTCCAGTCTGCCAGCCTACTCTGCAGAATTTGGATTTGCTAACCTCCACAATAGTGTGAGCAAATTCCCTATTTTATATATATATATATGTGTGTGTGTGTGTGTGTGTGTGTGTGTGTGTAATAAAATAAATATAAATTATATATATATAGGTAAATATATATATAAATAATTATATATATAGGTAAATATATATATAATAAATATAAATTATATATATATATAGGTAAATAAATAGATGAATAGATAGATATAGACAGATATAGACAGAATTGGTTCTTTGACATGATTATAGTTAAAAGCACTATGACTCTACCTCCAGTAGTAAAGAGAGCACTAACAATCCATGATGTGATGTGGCAGTGGAGATATACAGAATATCACCATTAGATATACTTAATCAAGAGTATAAGAGGAAAGCACACATATAGATATCTATATATAAGGAATTATATATCCATATATAGAGTTTTATATATATATATTTTATATATATAATTACTTCTATATCCTTAAAGAACCCTGACTAATAAAAATTTTGGTGCCAAGAGTTGTTCTAGAGGACCACAATCTTAAGGATCAGTTTTCTGAATTGGTTCTGATGTTTCTGGAATTGGTTCTTTGACCTGATTAATGTTAAAAGCACTATGACTCTACCTCCAGTAGTAAAGAGAGCACTAACAATCCATGATATGATGTGGCAGTAGAGATATACAGAGTATCACCATTAGATACACTTAATCAAGAGTATAAGAGGAAAGATTCTAGACGACCTTGAAGGTATATACCTTCAAACATTATTGTCAAAATAATCTAAGGGTTTTAGTTTCATATGTGAAGGTGAGACTAGTGCTTTCTATCTCAGAGAGTCATTATAAGTATTAAAGAATAAATGAGAAACCTGGCATACAGTATGTACTCACTAAATTCTATTATCAAGGCTATCATGTTTTTATTGATTGATTATAATCTTTCATGTATTGTTATCAATTAAACAACACTTATTAATCATCTAAATGTCCCAAGCACTATTCTTGTCTTGGGGGTTCAGTGGTAAGAAGTGTTGACAATACCGCTGTTCTCTTAGAGACTATCTTCTGCACTGGAAGAAAAAAAGGCTTGAAAGAAACATGAAAACACTACATATTTTAAA